GCGAGCAGGTACAACATTTCACAAAATTGGCGGATTGCCTTACGGCAGCGACAAATCGTGTGTACAGCTATCCACTGTAATTACGACACTGGTACAATAACAACAGTGAATTCCACTCACATAACTATAGGGGGCTTCATAGCCGCAAAAATACACAATACTATACAATTTCTTGCACTACAGCAGTACTGCAGGAGTTGGCCAATTATTTTATCTTAAGCTAATAAACAAAATGATGGTACGTGTACACAATATCTACTTCATTTTTTTGCACAACTACAGAAGAAGAAGCCAAAGTTCAGGTAAATGTTTCTTTGCCCCAACCACAATAAAATGTATTCAGTAAAAACATATAATGCACAAATATTTGACTTTGTACATTAAATATAGTGAGTATTTTATTAGTTACTGAATATAAGCATCATAACAAAGTAAGACCACTAGTATTGCACTGTACACATTATTTTATTTATACGGAATTTAAATTATTGGTTCCACTGTATGTTATAAAGCTTATTTTATAAAGCTGATTAAGTGAGACTAATTTGACAATTTGTAATAGAATAAAATAATATATATTTTTAAAGCCCTACACTTAAAAATAAAGGTTCCAAATGGGGGTTCTCGTAGCGATGCAACAGAAGAACCATTTTTGGTTCCCCAAATAACCTTTCAGTGATCAGTTCTTCAAGGAACCATTTTTTTCTTATTATGAAGACCATTTAAGTAATATAAACAACGTTTTTCATTACGAATAACCTTTTGTGGAATGGAAAGTTTCCATGGATGTTAAAGGTTCTTCATGGAACCATCAATGCCAATAAAGAACCTTTATTTTTAAGAGTCTAAAATTGTAACCATTTCTTCAAAAAACATATGTTTTTGTACAGCCCTACCTTAAAAGAATGATCCAGGCTGTTACACAGCACCTGCCACGGAGGAGTGTACCTGAACATGGTGTTTGCTGCAGTACTAGAGTTTGACAGGAAAACACTAGCATGCAGTTTACTCGACTCTATCCTGATGAGTCCTGGAGAGTGAACAGAAGAGAAAAATTATTTTTATGTACCATAACCTACCAAGAATCACCATGCACTAGTATGTGTCAGATATTACAAAATATTGTATTGTAAAAAATACTTTTAAGTGCAAAAGCAAAGTAAAAAACATATATATATTTTTGTAATGTGTGATAAAAATTTGTTTGCTTTTACCTCATCTTTTGCAGGCCGATGGATCCAGCGAGACCATTGTGTCTAATAGCGCTGAAACATACAGTGAAAGCAGGGCCGGCCTACCCCATCAGTACTGCTGCAGGTGTCAGTCTAGTATTCAGTCAGTCTTCATCCACTACCCAAAAAACTTTGATTTGTTTTTAAGCTCAGTTGCTCTGGTAAAGCTCCTCCTCCAATATGGCTCCAATATGGTCAAAACAAGAGGTATCACCTTAAGCAAAAATGCCCAAAATGTGTGTGGGGTGACCCGGCCCATGGTCAAAGATTCAGTGCATGCATGCGTGTATAGGTGTGTGTGTCGATGAGTGTGCTGAGGGCAGGGATACCAGTCAGGAATGCTGCTATAATCAGCAACCTTGGGACAAAAGCTGAGAATACCCCTCTACCATCCCATAATGCACCTCATAGTTGCTCTGAAGCCTGGTCATTTAATCATTGACAATGGCGGTGACAATACCACGGTGGCTCTTAGATTAGTTCTGAAAGGCAGCAGTGGTGTTCCTCAGGTCTCACTACTAGGCCCGCAACCAGTTTTGTTTTTTTTATCAAGAAGATTCTTTCCTTACTTTTCCACCTTACTTCTCTACTTTGTACTCTACTTGTTTGTGTCAGATGTTGATTTGGTAACCACTTTGATGATTTGTCAGATTGATTCAAACTAGCAACTGAGATTTTTTTTTAAATATTAATTTCACGAGTTCACGCTTACATATGATTAGCTGAAGTATGGTAATGCATATTTGGCGTGCTGTCCGGGGAAGGGCTCCAAGCTCGGGAATGGCCCGAACCTAGAATACCCCCCCGTATAGGTGTAGTATGAACTCAAAGTGAGGAGATGGGGCGGAGGAGGGATGCTGATAAACCGTCAATGGATAGAGGTAAGTCAGCTGTATTTATATCATGGTGTTGATTAACTTGAGTGCGCTCCACCTGTGTTAATTAGGCTAAGTATCTGACGCGCTCCTCCCGAACCTTGTTAATAAAACATCATTAAAAGAATAGACTGATAAGATAATTTTTTTCAGAAATCAAACTACACTTCTTGTGCTGCATGTTTTCAATTCACTAAAAAGAACAAACTCAAAAGTGTTCGTGAATCACGCTGTACATTTTTGATGCAGTAAAAGAAACAGGATCGAGTCATTTGTTGGTGAATTGTACTACACTGGTTGCGCTGTACATTTCTGATTCACTTAAAAGAACAGGCTCATAAGAGTAATTTGTTAGTGAATCGGACTACACTGGTTGTGCTGTACGTTTCTAATTCAGTTAAAAGATCTGGCTCATAAGAGTCATTTGTTAGTCAGACTGCACTGGTTGTGCTGTATGTTGTTTTTACATTTATCTTTTAGCAGATGCTTTTATCCAAGGTGATTTACAAATGAGAAACCTCACAAGCAGTTTGTCAGAATATTTACAGTATACAATGCCAGGTTTAGTATAAAACTAGTTTTTGCATGCAGCCTGGGAGGACAACTCAGTAGAACGCCATTTCTTGCCATTTTTTCACCTAGCATGATATTTTTATTGCATCTCATTCAATACAGACTGCAAACTCACAGTGACAAAAATGAATCTTTTGTTGTGGTGTTGAAGATAGCAGGAAATACTGTTACATAAAGATCTGTGCATACTGTAGATCATAAGCAGCACATTTACTGGTATAAAGAAAACAAGACAGAGGCAGTGATTTCTGTAACGCACGTCACATTTTAATGTCTTCTTCCAACTCATACAGCTCTGTCAGGTTGATAAGAAAGCAGACCTTCACAACGCACAGACAACAGTGGCAGTAAGAGCACACACACTCATTATCAGGAGAACCAATAAGAGAGGAACCTGGTTATATGTCCCTACATTGTCCTCTGTTCTGTCATGACTTTGAACTCAGCTTGTCATCAAGGGTTAGGGGTTCAAGCACAGGGACATTATCTAACATGGAATTGGATATGTATATGTAGATATGTGTGATTTATGTACCTATAAAAGCATGCAACTATACAAAAGAGATACGCCAGGCCTGTGGCCAGACAACAAGGCATTCAGGGGTGAGGAACACGTCGGAACTGGAATGTTAGTACTGACGGACAGTAAGGTGAGTGGCAAACCATGAAACTCACAGTGATGCAAAGACTTTAAAGGAAGTTGCCCAGATGAGTATTGAGAGGAAAGCAAACAGGTTCTTGAACCTTGAATTATAACCTCATTTGATGCTGCTTTACATCCAAAAAGTGTGTACATGGATAAGTGAACGTGTGTAAACATGATAGAACATGATAAACGGAAAGTTTTTTTTTTTTTTTTGCATTCATGTTGACCTCATTTGACTCCTGGGCTTCTGAACAACGCACATTGATTTCCATAGAGTTCATCCCAGCAATTCGGGCAGAAATATAACAAAAATATGAGAGATAAAACATTACATATTAACTGAAATAAATCATGAATACGACCACATAGACGCAAAACGCACACACATTATTCTAGCACACCTCTACCAACTAGCCATGCCACATAATTTCATTCTCCTAAAAATTAGTAATTAATTTGCCAATAAATTAAATTGATAAAGAAAGTAATTTATAAGGTACAGGTTTAACATTCATTAAAAACCCTCCAATGTAACGTAAAGGTGCATTTAGTAGTTCGGTGCTAATTTAAAAAAGTTGAACACATGGAGAAATAAATTGTGTTTTTGTAAAAACTCAGATAAAGATTTCTATAAAATGTGTTTCAGTTATGTATGGTGTGGATCGTCCCCACCAAAATGTATTTTGTCATGTTGAAATGGCATGAGCTGCAGTGTTTCACAGCCGCTAGTAGCGTAGTGTTGTTTGGGGATGCAAAGAACGAAAATTATACAAGCATCGTGCCTTTCCAGACAATGGGAGAATCAGTACCTGTATATAGTGATTAGAGTAAATAAGCTTTTTGAAACACTAAATGAATTGATTCGCAAAATTATTCGATTTCAAAAATCTCAAAACACAGCACACTCATGCCACCTACTGATCAAAGCAGTGTAAATGCAATGTAATCACAGCCCAAATCTGCAGAAAGACACCTTTTACAAACCAATTACAATTGTTTTTAATAAAGTATCATTTACTGAATGTAATTTACATATCACTAAATACCATATAATATGTAGTGCCTGTTATAATTTTGTATGCTTGTTTTAGGCAGGACTTGGCTATTCAGTCTAATTAGAAACAATTAATAACCATTCTACTTTTCATTATATATGCATGCTTATTAAGATTCTTAAAATTCATTAAAAATGAACCTACATTATAATTGGTTAATGTGTTCACCAGATCGGAATTTAGAACGTTTCGATGCAAATGTTCGATGTAATGAAGCCAGTTTCATACACACGCTCCCAACTACTGATTCTCAAAGGTTTCAAAGCTGAAAGCTCCCATCAATTATTTAATTAATTAATTTTAATTGGAATTAATTATTGTGTAAACTTCTCTCTGAAACACAATGGTATCAGTGTAATTTACATAAAACTGGACATTGACTGTGAAACCAGACTATAAAATGCACCTTTAATGTTGCTAACATTTATTTCTGTTATGGAAAAGATGAAAATAACTTTAAATAAGCACCAGTCCACCACCCATCTCTTCCACAAACACACAGGCTACAAAAACAATATGCTTTTTGATTTTACTGAAGCATTTGGCATCATAGCTACTTTAAGGGCAATTCCAACATTTTTTTTTTAAACTTTTAATAGAAATGCTAACATTTTTTTTAAATATCTAAACAAAAAAAAAGGAAAAAAGCTTCAATACTTGGCATAATGACCTATTAAAGGTTTCTTGTGCCCTCGCCACACTTCCTTGGAACAGCTAAGGAAGGGCGGATATTGTCCTTCCTGTCTTTCCATTCTTGTCTCGGGAACTGTTATGATTGCTGTGGAAGTGAGAGAGCTTTGCTTATTCTGACACTAGTTTGAGGGCTCACGCACGAGGGCTCTTGCATAGGATTGGCTGCAGCAGTTTGTTGATGTCACTTGTTAGGAATGAGCTGTCACTGACCCTTCCTGAGGGCTGATGGCAATGCGGACTGGCATACAATTAAAAACACACAGCCAGCCCGATACATACACACCTCTGAACGTCAGAACAAGGCCAAATGCACATGAGCGATGCAGATGAAAGATGAGAAGGCTACAAATGATCCGATGCAAGTTTACATCATGCAGCAGTTTGAAAGTAACCGAGAGAACAACTGACTCTCTACTCTTGACCTCTATTTCCAACAAATAGAGCATTTCAAGTGGGGATTATATATATTTTAGTTAGAAACACAAAGGAACAAAACACATGCGCAAGCTCTTTGCTGCAACAGTTTAACTGAGAATGACCAGTGAACAGCCTAACAGCAAAACATCAAAGCTTACGGAGCTCACCTGTCCTACATTTCAATATGAAAGAGCGCAATCTACTGGACTCACGGGAGAACAAAGATAAGGAAAATAAGGAAATAAGGAAAACGGTGCTGTATTACTGTGTGTTTGAGAAATAGCAAGGGAAAAAGAGAAGGGATGCTCTGATAGAAGAAAACACTCATTGACCAATGTTTTTTTTTTAATTTAAAGCAAATAGCCTCAAACAAGTTACACGTGCATTTGCAGGAATGTTGGTTCAATAGAGAGGATAAGCTGTGACATGCTTTCATTTACTGTAAAATTATTATAACTCATCCCCAAGTTTGTAAAAAGCAAATAAAAATCATATTGATTATGCAATATATATATATATATATATATATATATATATATATATATATTTGCTTAGAAATGCTGCAATGCAAAAAAAACAAAAATATCAAGCAGCAGTTTTAACACTGATAATAAAAAGAAAAGTTTATTGAGCAGCATATTAGAATGATTTCTGAGGATCATGTGACACTGAAGACTGGAGTAATGATGCTGAAAAC